AGTAGGTCTTCGTAGAGGGCAGCGGGGCCGCCGATGTCGCCGACGGGGGAGGAGCCCGCGGGCGCGGCGCTTGCGGTGGAAGTCGCGTTGGCGGAGGCGGAGGCGGACACCGAAGCAGAAGCTGAAGCAGAAGCTGAAGCTGAAGCTGAAACTGAAACTGAAGCGGACGCAGAGCCGGGGACAGAGAAGGAGGATGCGGACGCGCTGAGAGTCGCATTCGCGCTGGCAGAGTTACTCGAGACGGCGCTGGCGGATGCGGATTTTGTTGATGCGGCCGCGCTCGTTGAAGCATGCGCAACAGAGGAGCTGACAGCAGTGGTGTGGTGCGCTGCCTCAGCGCGGCGGCCGTGGCCTCCGACGTGCGATGTCCTGAGCCCGCTGTACGCGAAGGTGGTATACGAGAGACCGAAACCGAACTCGAAGCGCGGCGAGATGCCCTTCGAATCGAACCACCTAAGCTCACGGACATGAGCGAAATCAGTATCGAGAAAAGGGGGAAAGGCGCACCTGTAGTCGATGTTCATGCCCTCGGTGTACGTGAGCTGCGGCGTAACGTCGCCGCTCGTGTACAGGATATCCGCGGGGTAGTCCCCGCGCGCCTTCGCAATCGTATACGGCAGCCGCCCGCTCGGGTTCGTCGCCTGGTCCCCGTCGGCGAACAGCACGTCCACGAGCGCGTTCCCGCTCTCCTGCCCGGGCAGCCCCGCGTGCAGCACCGCCGTCACATTCGGGTGGTTGATCCACGCCTCGACGAGCACGGGGCCCACGACGTGCTGCACCACAATGGTGTTCGAGCAGACGGCGGCGGTGGCGGCGATGAGCGCCTCGCCGCCGTGCCAGAGCGTGATGTTGTTGCGGTCGCCCGCGTTGCCGCCGACGGTGATGTAGCCCTCGCCCGAGTCCGCGTTGACGAAGACGAGACAGACGTCAGAGAGGGAAGCGACGGTGGAAACCTGGCCCATGTTGTAGTCGTTGAGGACGCCCTCGACGACGACGGTGGGGTCGATGGATTGGACGTGCGCATTGATGGCGGCGAGCGGGTCGACGAGGTAGGGGAAGTTGGCCGTGCCGGAACCCCAGCCCATGGCCAGCGTGCCTTGGTCGCATCCGCGGCTGCGCGAAGGGAGTTAGGTTAGAATCACTGTTGGTGGATTTGTTTCAAGACGCACTCGCTGCATCCGTTCGGCCCATCGGGGTTCGGCCCAGCATCGGAGCCGAAAATGCCGATGCCTGTTGAACGAGAAAAATAAATACGTCAGCGCCTAATCCCGCCAAAGAAAAATCGGAAACGTACGCTTGAGGTTATTAACCCTTAACGGCAGCGCGCCCTCCGTGTTCTTCAGCAGAATCGTACTTGCCGCACCGATCTCGCGAATCAGGTTGTAATGGTCGCCTTGCACGCTGGGAAAGATAATTATTAGCCGCAGTTCAGGAGTGTCAATAGAAATTAAGCACTTGACATGCTCATTTACAAGCTGGCCGTTGAGGAAGGTCGCCTGCGTGAGCTGCGAGAAGTTGACCTCGGGGTAGTCGCTGTCCTGCCCCATCTTGTACCACGCCGCGAGCGTACGGATCACCTACGCAGATCGAGCATCAGGTTGAACTAGCGATGCAAGGGAAAGGTAGGAGTGGGCCGCACCATATCATCGACGCGCGCCTCGGGCACGCTCCCGTTGTTGACCATCTCGATGAGCGCGGCGCCCCAGTAAGAGTTGGTCGCTTTCGACGGGTCGGGGTTGTCCTGCGGGCCGACGCCCTGTGGAGGAACGAGTCAGTGTGAGTCTAAAACATGTATAAGAGGAAGGGACGCACATATCCAACGAATCCAGGCATGTTCATGTCGAGCCCCGCGAGCGCGGGCTGCACGCCGTTGATCATCGCCGCCCAGTCTGACATGATGAAGCCTGTCGAGCGATGTTAGCCCAAATTACTAGTACTCCACTCAGAAGACGCGACGCGAAATCGCGAGTGCGATGCGGAATAAGCCGACGCGAATAGCACGATATAATACACCGCGGAGAAACAAAGGGAAACGGGAGGAAGCGCACCCTGGAACCCCAACTCCTCCTTCAAGATCCCGTTAATGAGCTTCGAGTTCTGGCACGCCTGTGTCTGGTTGATCTTGTTGTACGCGCACATGACGGACCCGACGCCCGCTTTGACAGCTTCGGCGAAGGGCCAGAGGTAGACCTGGGGTCGGTCAGTCCGTGTTCATTTCCTTATTCCATTTGTATTGGGAATTTATGGGAGGGTGGGGGAAGGGAAGGGGAGAGCGGGACAGGGAAGGTAAAACATACCTCATGCATGGTGCGGTCATCGATGTTGGAGGAGTAGATCTGCGCGGCGGAGGAGCCGCCGCGGAAGTGTTCTTGTTCGTTTGCGATGCTGCAAGTGCATTAGGTTTATTTTTACATGTGAGATGAATAAAGCGAAATGAGATGAATGGAAGAAGTGAAGTGAATGATATGACGAGAGGGAAAGAACGCAGGAAGCGAAATGAATGGTATGAATGGGAGAAGCGAAATGATATGAATGAATGACGGGAAGGGAAGAATGGATACATAATGATATCTAGAGGGAGGTTAGCGGCGATAACGTTGAATTTTGATTTCGAACCCGGGGCCAGCGGAGGCGGACAGGTACGTATCAAGGCAAGACCGAAGACGGGCAAGACGAAGACGTAAGATGCGCGGTCAAGTTCAACGTCGAACTTGGCTGGCACTTGCTCGAGTAACGCCACCTCCAACGACGTCCCACTCGAACGGAGAGCGAATAAAGGAGAAAAGAATGAACGAGAATGAAAGGGAATAAAATGGAATGGAGAAAAATAAAAGGAAGTAGAGTTGAACGGCACGCACTAGTGTTTAACGGTAGCGATCACTCCAACACCCTGGTACCCGACGATGGTTGCGGCGGTTGCGGCGCCGGCGAGGAAGGGGTCACCGCCGAAGCCTTCCCAGTTGCGTCCAGCAGCTGCTTGACGGCCTAGCGGGTTTAAACGTTAGGGATAGAAGAGAAGCAACAGAAATTCGAGCGCGAGCCAGAAATTCGAATAGCACAATTATGATTGAAGGCAGTACTCACCGAGATTCGTCATGGGCCCGAGCGCGACGTTGACCCCCTTCCCGCGGTGCTCCTCGCCCATCGCCTTGCCACGCTCCTCAATCAGATCCAGATCCCACGTCGCGGCAGCATTGATCCCCGCAGGGAACGCCGACGCGAAATCCGCGAAGCGCACGCCGAGCGGGGAGTCCTCCATGCACAGACCTTTCCAGCCAATGCGGGGTATTTGCTGCATGCAAATATTATGATCAGAAAAAAGTGTATAAAGAGGGAACTGAAGACATACACCAGTGTTGCCGACGCATCGCCCGAGGATGTCGACGCCGGTGGTGACGTTTATCTTCTCTGCGAGGGTGAGGCGCTTGACGAATTCCGTGGCTTTGGCGACGGCGGAGGCCCAATCGCCCGTTCCGCGGACGGCGGGCGCCGGGAGGACGATGGGGGACTCCCATTCCTCGAACCCCGGGGGCGCGGCGTCGGGGATGCCTGTCGTGAGGTCCGCGAGCGCGGGCAGTGCGAGCAGCGCGAGGGAGAGCAGCGAGGGGTGCCGCATTGTTTCTCGGTGGTGTGCAGGAGACGGAGAACCGAACGCGTATGTGCTGGCGCGGCTTTTGTAGAGCCGCCTAACCGACAGCTGACCGCCCCTCCATGCTTCGATTTTCTGATTTGCGATGAGAGAAGCTAACTAGAAGGCAGCTGACTTGGATCAGTGCGAGCTGGGGATTGCCGGGCTCGGATCATATCCCCGTGGGGCAAGGCAATCATCGGCAGGCCGCGGCAGCAGGGCGGGGAATAGAATTTCCGTCATAAATTACGGCGACTTGACGGCAGCCGTGCGGGCTGCATACGCCCCTGGCAGCCGCTCCACATTGTTTCGCAGGCCCCGGCAGGGTAATTCGATTAGTTGTTCGATTGACGTTCGATTGACCCGAAAAACAAATATTAATCATCCCACGCGAGTTTGTTGGAACCGAGTCGAGGATCCGCACACCATTTCAAATCGACTCGCGCATTCAAACGTGATTCTCAACGGCATCTCCATCCGAGTGCCGTACCCTTATTCCTTTGGACTCGGGGCCCGCACTCCCCGGGGCCGTGCAACGCTTCCACGCAGTGCGTACGTTGTGCGGAACTCGCGCCGCATCCAATTTCTGTCGCGATAGCTATCACTCCTTCGATTCCAACTGATCACTGATATCTGCCAAGAGATGCCAAGAGATGTCCGTAAGTGTCGCTGTCCAGAACCCAACAAACTCGGTGGGTTGCATTATTGTCGCCAACAATATACCGCCGCTGCTCCGAATTCTTGACGGTGCCCAGGCGGATCTCGGGACAACCTTGATTTCCATGACACTGAGGTAAACGTACGAATTATTCGGAAGAATCGGACGTGGTGCACGGTGCACAACTATTCGGCAGGATCTCAAACACCCCGTTGCAAGCAGCAGGACGGGGTTCGGCTCCCCGCGTCCGAATAGGTGCGGAAAAACGTTTAAGTGTTTTGCCTTTCGCTGCTTCCCTCATATTCAGGTCCTAGCCCCGGGGAATAAAATATCGTACATATGAGATGTGCAAGATCGAACCAAGGGACTCGGACGCGGTGCACGGTGCACGGTGCACGACTACTCAGGATGGTGTAGTGATATATTCACGCAGCAGAACGGGGTTCGACTCCCCGCGTCCGAATAGGTCGGCAAAAAGATCTATTTTTATCCCCTTTGGCTGCCCCGCTTCAATTCCCGCCGTGCGTATGGGATGTGCAAGACCGACCCAAGGGACTCGGACGCGGTGCAAGGCGAACAGCGATTGTCGCAGGAGCATGGTGTTCGACTCTCCGCGTCCGAATAATCACTTCCACAGTGGAAGTGACTGGTTTTTGAACTCTAGGCGCCATATCTGTGAAAATGTGAATTGTGGGTAACCAATAGGGGATGAAATCGGGCGTGGTGCACGGTGCACAGCTGCTCATTATGTGGTGTAGCGATCGATATGTTGCAGGAGCTTGACGGGGCTCGACTCCCCGCGTCCGAACTCCGGCGATCTCAAAGAAATCTTTACTTTTGCTTCACGACATCACTGGCATACAAACTTGGAGGGTATCTCTACTTTCTGGATTATCAAGCTCCTGAGTCTACGGAGGCTCGGCAGCAAGAGAAAGTATTGCCCCAGTATGCGGAAATCAAATGAACTAAGAGTTCTAGATACGCCGCTCCAGATTATTTAAGCACAGTACGATGCGTGGGTCTGCGAGATTTGCTTCAGCACAGTGGCTAAAGGCCGGACTGCAGGTTGAATCGAATCGACTGAAATTCAGGCTATGGATGCGTGAATCAACGCCCGGGGACTTCGGTAGTCAGCCTTTCAGGCGGAGAAGCGTCGGCGCAGAGGACGGCGGGCAGCGGTGTCTGATAGAGCGGGGAGATGGCTGAGTCAATCGCGAGATTTGCTCGCATGCCTACCGAAGCAGGCTTTCTGAGGCTATTGGATATTCGCGGGGGACGAGAATGTGGGCGGGATCGCGGTCAGCAAAGAGAATCCCGGCTAGCATGTCTTGGGGCTTGGGTGGCATGATGAGATCACCGGGGGATGGTCAAGCGAAGGAATGGGTGTCGATCGACGCTGCCGCGACGGTGTTGTTTAACGCACTCGGCTGCTTCAATGGCGGATCTGGAGGGAGCTGTTGGGATTATTGGGCCAGGGGGGTGCGAACCGCTACGGGCACGGGCCAACGTCTGACATCGCGTAGCTTGACATATACTGTATTTGTTTTCATTCAATTCGACAGTCCCCCGTCACTGGAGTCACGCTTCAACCGGCGCCGGGGTTGAATTACTTTTCCGGCTCGAAAATCGTTCAAAAATGCTCATTTCGCGGCGGAAAATTGCTCAGAACAGGCCTCAGGCCGCACTACATGCGAAAGAGCCGCATTTATCTTTGGTGAATATGTAGGTCTTGGCTGTCGAATTTCAAATTTGGACGCATGTCACGCTCACCTCGGTGGGTTGGAAACTGTCGAATTGGTTGAAAATGTCACGCGTCACCACCCCTGTCGAATTGAACGAAAAAATACAGTATACTCGATGTTGTACCGTATTTAACTTGCGTGCTTGTACCCGCACTATACCAATGGTCAGCCATCCCTTGGGGTCTTCTCGTTGTATCGCGTCAGTCCTGTGGCTAGCGTCGCCTCACGGTGCCAAGCTTCCTGTGCAGGCCATCCCTCCTGTCAGTTTACTTTGTAGCTGACGCGCTTGAATACTTGAAGGGTCGTCTTTAAGTGAGTGAATTAATTGGGAGGAAGCACCTCGAACCGCGAAAGCAAAGCAAGGGAGTGGAGGATGAGGGAAAGTCTAGATCCGTGGCGGTGCAGCCACGCATCAACCAAACCCTCGGGCCGTGAGCCGGCCCTTCTGCTTCCGACCACCACTGTCTCGTTCAGTTCCGGCGTTCTACTCCGTCACGGTTCGTTCAGTTGCCTACCACTGGCCGTGAGGTAATCCTCGTCGCTCCACTCATACTCCCTCCTCGCTGCGACAGTCCTCTTTCCAGTTCTTTGCGTTCGACTGGCTCTGGGAAGCTAGCGATCGCCGGTGCACTCAGCCCTCCCAGTCTCCCATCACTCTAAAAATGAGCTCAGAGCCGCTCAGACGCAGGTGACCTATGCAGACGCAGTTGCACGATGCTCCCCGACACGTGGCAGGGCGGGTCAAGCCATGGTGCTCTGCCTCAGAAGCCTTGTATACTTTGATAGTACCCTATCTCAGGATTGAGCCGATACTGTAGCGGTAATCCTAGTTGCAGACGCGACCACGTTTGACGCCCTGCCCATATTCACCGTACCGGGTTTCGCGCCCAATTTGCGCCCTTATGCCAACCCCTCATATGGGACTCCACGGTTGATATCAACAGCATTCTAACCGCATACTCCGGTGTTCCCGATCCACGAAGCATGTTGTCCTGTATAATTCAGGCCACAACGCCGATTCACGAAGCAAGCGTACGCGTTCTGACTGTGCACCGCTGCGACCCGCATCGCGCTGCGTATTCAGGTGTAAGGTAGCCCATGAGACCCGCTGCGAAATATCAGCACGGGAGACGAGGCGACGGGATAGCCAATGGTTTGTTGATTCTGTCCGGGACTGTACTAAAATCGCTAAATAATTCATGAATGCCGCTGATATGATATACTCAGAAGGTTCGTAAATTTGAACTCTCGTTAGACTCTTAGACTCACTCACACATCCCTTGATCCGGATATTCCCCCACGAATATTTCTTGTGAATCCCGGATTAAACGCTGGATATGGTGTCGTCCGTCTAGGGACGGAGCTACTAGTCACCTATGAGGCAAATTTGACGCGAGATTCGAGACAACAAATCGACGTTCAAGTTGGATCGAAGCGATTGTTTGACACCGCTTGGTCCTGATGTTTGACGCGTCGCATCACATGGTGCCTCCTTTGAATTTCTCTCTCAGTGGCGTTTCGGTGGCACTGCTGTGGTCGCCTTCCCTCCCGCTCCCACCCACCAAATCTCAGTCTGTGGGATGTCCTTGGAATCTCCCTCGGTGCGTTCCTCTCCTCCGACACAGTGCCATGGACACCGATGCTAACCCGATGCGGTCCAGCCGAACTGGAGTCCGATCCTGAAGCGCTGCAAGTGCGCGACTGGCGCTATAAGCTGCAAAGCCGGTTCCTCAGCTCCAATCAGACGCTGACGCCGGACGTGGGTATCCATCCACACTAGTGTCGTCGACGCCCCCTACTGCGAGTCTGATGCCATTCACAATGCAGGAGATGCCCGCCCTCGACGCACTCTTCAAGGTCATCGAAGAATACCAAAACATGACTATCGGCTACCTCATCGTCCGTCCCTCCAGTTCCTTCCGTCCTAGATTCTGATTGATGCCCTTCTCGCGCCAGTTCTCCAAGATCGGTAAAGTGATGCGCCACATCCAGCTGCTCGACGAGAAGAAGGTTCCACGCGACGACGAGTTCGACTTCCGCCTCCGCGCCAAGGTGCTTCTTGATCAGTGGCACCAGCTGCTTACCGCGCGCAGGGAGGGGGATGCGGTGACTGAGCGCATAGGGCACATGAACCTCAACGGCGCGGCGTAGGTGCGTCTGTCTTGTGGTCGCGGTGAGAGTAACTGACAAAGGCCGCGTCCGTCAGTGACGCTAGATATACAACCTCGATATTAGCTCGGTTATAATTCAAAAGGTTTCCTCTTCGTGCATCCCGTTCTCTGGCCCCCTGCTTCGATATTTTGCATCGCAGCGACTACAAATCAGCGATGTAATCTCCTCTAAGTGCTAGACCTTCAATCCCTTGCGCAGTTCATTTCCCCGTGGCAATATACATGTTCAGAAACAGCACGGCCAGTCGAGCCGATCTCGTTCAGCGCCGCTATTTTGGTCAAAGCTAATTTCCTGGAGACCCTGCGACTGGCTGGGGCTGATACGTAAACTCGTCGTATTTTCTCTCATTCAACGACAAGGATCGCCCAATATTCTCCCTCTAAGTACAACTTATGGCATTGAAATCCCACTTTAGTCCCTAGACCGGATTCGAACCATGTTTCCCCATGCCGTTCCGTTCTCAGGCCCCATAGTTACACATTTCGGCCGGCATATGACCGCTCCGCTGACTGTCTTTTGCAGGATGCGTTCCAAGATCGTCCGGAACGAATGACATCAAATTTGTCATACTTTGGGAGATTTCCCTCGTTTCTCGGCGGCGACCCTTCCTCCGATTCCTGTGGACTCCATGACCTCTTAATCGTCGATACTCAGAATCAACTCAAGATGGACCAGGTCTCAATATTTGGAAGCTCCGAGCTTCAAGCGTGTCCTCCCGGCCCAACTGAGAAATTCGTACTCTCTGTTCTGATGAACTCGATTTCAGCAGCAGCCCTGCTTGACCCTCAGCTCTTTATCTTCTCACCACGTCGGTTTTTCACTAGGGCGGCTGTCCTTGGTGATACTTGCATGTGATTCCTTTTGGCTCCTCTCAAAGCCACCAGCTGGTCCCAGTGCACCGAAAATGACTGAGAACCCAAGATACTGGTTATATTGACCGGGAAGTAAGTACTTATACAGACAAGTGAGGATATGCATAGAGGATCTGGTAGAGAGTCGGAGAACCGGTGCAAGTGCGGAGACAAGCTGCAAGGGCAAAAGAGTGAGTTGCGACATGACAGCAGTATATAGTGTGCAGGGTGCGTATACCGCGTGCCTTTGACATCAAATATTTGTGCATGACTTTACCAAACCGCCCAGAAGGCATCAAGATGGAATATGATGCACGGGTCCGGACATGCTCCGAACATTTCAAGTTCCCGGCTCAAGTCCGGGGCCAGACAGGCAGGGTTTAAACCGCGAGGTCATGGTTTCTCGCAGCATATTTTCTGCTGCTGTCCCTCCTCTCGCTTCAAGCAGCGCTTGTGGGATGTACGTCCCCGCCCAAAGTATTTTGAAGACCAAGGTTACTTAATTATGAGTGAGGCTAGTAGAGAAAATAACAGCTGTACGTTCAGAATAAGAAAACGAGGATCAAAGTAGCATGTAATGTGGGCGTTGTTAGATATGAGTGGCCGGTGCGGCAGAGATATTCTAGACCTTGAACCCGCCCGCCAGCTGCATGACCTTGAGAGGGTCGACCCTGTTCGCAATCGCTGTCAACCTCGCCACGTTCGCGGGCCCAAACAGCTGGTCCAGCGGCGTGTCCGCCAGCGCGAGGTTAGAGTACCGCGGCAGCGTTCGTCTGCTTTGCTTCGTCTCAGCCGCCTGGATGCGGTCGACGCTCCCCTGCATAGCGGCGAGGTTCGCCGCGTCGTTTGTGGCGCTTACCCACTGGAAACCAAGGTTGCAAATCGCGGCGCTGTAGGGGCGCGTCCAGGTCGGAGGGAAGGCGCTGTCGGACGTGCGCGCGGGCGCCGTGAGGTAGCCGGGCGAGAAGGGCTCGATGCTAAAGCCAAACCCGGCGGACGAGGCGTTGGCGAGCAGCGCGTTGTTGATCTTCGTTTTTTGGGGA